CACTAATCCTAATGCTGCTGCTCTGATGCTTCACAAGCAGCATGCCGAAGTGTGACCTCCAAAACACTCCATCCTTAACTGAACCAGGCCCAGTTAGATATAGCGCTGGGCCTACTGGAACTGGGTCCGGCCTGGGTCCAGGGCCGTTTGTCTGTTTTTGCAAAGAAAAGCACTCCTTCTCCCAAAGTTACGGAGTCATTTTGCCGAGTTCCTTCAACATGGTTATCTCAAGTGCCTTAGTGTACTCTACTTGTTCACCTGTGTCGGTTTGGGGTACGGTTCAATCTGGCGACCCATGGTCCTGGATGCAGAATGTGGGGAAGATTAAGAAGCTAGGCCAGAACGTGGCTTGCCTTGGTCCCAACCGGACATCCAGGTGTCCTGCTGTCTCAGCAGGACTGTCTGACAAACAGACAAAACAGGGCTGGACCTCAGAAAACAGCTCAGCCGAAAACGGAGTGTTGACTTGCCAGTGGATTAGGAACCGGACTGACGCTCCCCAGAATGGAAAGGAGCCAGAGGGCCCAGAGCCATAAGGTTCTGTTTTTTGGGGGGACAAACGGTTAAACGACACATCCCACAGCGGACAAACTTTGAAAAGGCAAAAACACACTGACATGGAAAACAAATCTCAGAAATAAATGAACTCACCCAAAAATATATCCCATGCCTAATCTACCAAGCTGGGGCCAGTATGGAATCGGTACATGCAATCTGTATCTCTGACACTTGCAACTTGGTTATTGCCCAGTAACCCGGGGGCACAATCTCACTATCAAAGACGATTGGATTTAATCCCCGAATCTGAACATGTTTGTGAAGAGGTGCAGAACATGGTGACTGATCTGCTTTTCTGCATCTCTCCATAAAACACATGCAGGTTCAGGCGGTCAATCCAATCCTCTTTGCTAGTGGGACTGTGCCCCGCTGCGCAAAATGGCCTCAATCCACTGTAGCCTGTACTGGCATCTATTCCTGCATTCAATTGCTGCACCACCTTTGACAGGGACCAAAGAACACGTTTTTGTTTTCCCTTTTTTTGTTTCTTTCTGCACTTCTTTTTCAAAAAAAAATCAAAAACTCATGCTTTTTCCTTTTGGAAATGTGTGAAATCGGAATGATAACCGAGCCCATGTGGCTGAATGGTACAAAGTAGTAGAAATATCCTGGCTGTGCTGGCAACCGGCCAGTTGGACCGGGACGGATCCAACCGGCCCGGTTTGACCCCCGGTGGTCCAACCGGAATTCCAGTTGGGCCCAAAAGTGGGTCAATTTTGACTCAATTTTATTTATTTATTTTTTTGAAAACGTGGTTGGACTGCGCTCGCCAAGATCTCCCCGAATCCGCAAAGAAAACTTTGATCAGAGAAGTCTCGTTTGGGGGGTTGGTAGGGGGGTTGGTAGGAGGTTGGGGGGGGGGGGGTATTTCAGGGGGGGGGGGGGGGGGGTGGGGGGTTGGGGATTGGGGTGTTTATGGTGAGTGTGTTAGTGGTGGGGTTTCAGCAAGCACAGGCTTCAGCAGACATTGACAACAACGTACCTGGCTTTCTGCAAACGTTAACCTTCCGCCCAAAAACTTTAAAAAGGGGGCTGGGGGTGTTAGTGGCAGGGTAGGGACGGTACTTCCCACCCAAAAACTTTGAAAAAGGGGGGKGGGGGTGATAGTGTTAGGGGCTGCTTGTCACTGCTGTCTACTCCAAGTTGCCCTCGATACTGGCAGGGTGATGGTCCTGAGCGCTGGTCCCACTGAGGTAGGATAGTAGGGATAGGGGGTGCACTGGGAGCATTAACGTGGGGAAGGGTAGGGAAGGTGGCCTATCTTGTCAGGACAACCACCGTCTGCCGCTGCCAGCGATCACCTTGGGTCTAGTCCTTGGCCTCTACAACACCCTGGGCTTAAAAATAATAATAATATGATGCGCTACAGCCAACCGGGGGGGAACCTGCCCGGTCGACCGGGCCGGTTCCGGTTGGGGGAGGGGCCCCCTGTCCTACGGGGTTTGCAGCACTGAGAAATATGTAACTAACAATTAATAACTTAATAAGTTATAATAACAGGTCCTGAGCTCGGATCCCGGTGGAATTGGACTGATGCAATAAAGCTAGGGACCTTTTTCAAAAGAAGGAAGGACATTGGAATGATACAGAGAAAGAAGAAGGGCCGGCAGCCTAGCTCAGTTGGTACAGCATGAAAGTGGCATTCAGGAGGTTGTGGGCTCGATTGCCCACAGTCTCCACGGCCCCCACAGCCTCCTGCAGCTCACTACGAGTTCACCAGCTGAGATAGTCGGTGGCCCCCTGGGTAGCGGTTGGTCATCCATTGCCCAGGGTTAGGAGTATTAACGTGGGGATGGGTAGGGTTGTCCTGGTTATCCTGTCAGGACAACCATTGGCTGCCACTACCAGCAATCACCGCGCGTCTGGTCCTTGGCCTCCACGACACCCTGGGCTTAAAAAAAAAAAAGGACGAAAGCTACGGTGCTTAGACACAGGAGGAGGTAGGTGTTAACCCATAATTGCAAACAATTGGCAACAAAACCTGGACTTACATAAGGGGTTAGGTAACATTGCATGCTGAGTCTGCACATGGGCCCCCGTTTCGCGGGCCCGGCAGTTGCTGGGGGTCCCCAGGCCGCACACCATTCAGGCGCGCACCCTGGAGGCCCACGGCCAGCCTTAGGGCCGCAGGATTCGATTTGAGGCAGCATCTATTTATTTATTTATTTATTTGCCGTCCTATTTTTGTCTGTTCAGGGATCGTTTCAGACTTGCAGTTCGTCCGAACAGACTTTCCGTCTGTTCGGACAAAGGCCATGTTCTGGGCCTTTTTAGTTCGCAGGCAGGCCCTTTCGGGCCAGGTTCGCGTTTGTCTAGTAGCGGACACTCCCTGCTGATGCACCTGGACGTCCGCTAGGGACCCAGGCAGGCCGTTTCAGGCCAGGACCAGAGGCACACCAGCGAGGCCCAGCGCTACATATAGCTGGGCCAGGCCAGGGCAGAAACACAGTTCCAGTAGCTCACTTCTTGGACGATGCGCTGCTGGAGCAGCACGACACTGCGCTGCACTAGAGGTAGAGGAGTAGGTGGAGAGGGAGAGGGAGAGGCGGTGGCCAGGCCTGCATCGGCAGAGTACCTACCTGGGCGCCATAGCTGGACTTCTCGCCAGCGACCTGCAGCACAGAGAGAGGCACTCCGGCGAGTTAGTACGTGGCGGCAGTTACCTGCAGGTGAGACAGAGAGGAGGACATCATCTTCTTCTTCCTCCAGTTCTCGGCCTCCATCCTCCTCCTCCTCCTCCTCCTCCTCCTCCTTCTTCTTCTTCTTCTTCTTCTTCTTCTTCTTCTTCTTCTTCTTCTTCTTCTTCTTCCTCCTCCTCCTCCTCCTCTTCCTCTTCTTCTTCTTCTTCTTCTTCTTCTTCTTCTTCTTCTTTCAGAGAGAGAGAGAGGTTACAGGCAGAGGTTACATCGGCTATGAGGCCCATGATCTGATTCGACATTCTTGTGGCAGACATTGATTGGACATTCGGCAGGGAGACTATTTTTGGACTTCGCTACTGCGATCTTGGTCTTCTCCTCCTCTCCATCTTCGTCTCGCCTCTTCCCCCATCTCCTCATCCGTGGTATCTCCCCATGTGCGTGATCAAGGAGGGACCTTTCCTCTGCGTATACGGTCCCTCCCCTCTCTCTCACATGTGTGGTGTATGATGGGATGTCGCGTCACTATCTGACAGGTCAGGGCATGTCTTTGAGTCTTCCGTTGCGCTACATTGTGCTATTTTCGTATGTATCTGGATGTGCATTGCTTGTTGATGCTTTGCTGACGCTGCATTGTCCATTCAAGTCCTTTTCATCACTTTGCGGGTCCTTGGCTCCATATACATCGCTCGATCGAGCATGTACCAGGTAGTGTGAGGTATATGAATGAAGAATATAGGTTAGTTTTCTAAAGATTATATGAATGAAGAATATAGCTTTTTTTTTTTTTTTTTTTTTTTTTTTGAATGTGAACTTGTGAAGAATATAGCTTAGTTTTCTAAAGAAAGAAAGAAAAAAAAAAAGATACAGAGAAAGAAGACTAGTGTGGGCCCTGCGCAAGGATGACACACGCAAATTAAGGAATGGTTAAAGGATTAAACCGATTAGAACGTCTTCCAGGCAAACTTTTGCACTGCATTCTTCTGGGCCTCGGCCTTCCGAACCTAAAGAAAGACAAACAGCGCAGCGCCAGTTCATTTTTGAATTGGCGCGCAGCAGAAACCAGCGACGGGAAAAAGAGGGTGAGACGTACTGGTAGTTTTAAAGTTAAACTCGAAAATACAAAAGGAGAAAAAGAAAGGGGCAATGGTTTTTCCCCCCCTTAGAAGACCGCTGTAGCCTTTACCTATCGTAGTCGACACCCGTATCTCCAACACCTCCAACTTGGTTCTTGCCCAATATTCCAGCTGCCCAAAATGGCCTTGATCCTCCGTAATCCGGACTGAAATCGGCTCCTGCATCCAACTGGATCACTTTCGCTGGGTCCTGTACAATGGCTGAGGCATACATGTTGGTCAGTTGCCCCCGTGGCCTCGGCGCCAACCAATTAACCCAACTTTGATTTGCGAGCCAACCTACTGCCCATCCTAACCACCTTGGAGGCACCTCGATAACGATTCCATTGCCAGAGACAGCGGTCACGATCACTCCTTCTCCCCCCTCTTCCTCCTCCATCCCCTCTTTGTCCTCCCCGGGAACCTGCCACTCCATTCCATTGGGAGATAATGCAGCCACATTAACTCCACCCCCCTCTTTCTCCCCCATCCCTTCTTTCTCCTCCCTTTGGACCTCCCACTCCATTCCTTTGGCAGATAGAGACATTGTGATGGCCCCTTTCCCCCACTCTTCCTCCTCCATTCCCTCTTTGAACTCTGTTGGAACCTGCCGCTCTACCCCATTTGCGGATGCAGCCGTCGCAACGAGTCTTTCTTCCCCTTTTTTCTCCTCCATCCCCTCTTTCTCCTCCTCCTCCCTTGGGACCTGCCACTCTACTCCATTTAGTGACGAATGCGTTACGGGCCCAGTCGCTGCCGGGCCACTTTCTGTGGCTTTGACACCCTTTTCCCCGCTCGAGGTCATCAGGATTGCCGTCTTCTCCGCGATTGTTAAATTCATCTCCCTCTCCCATCGACCAGCCAATCCTTGAGCAATCTCCGTTCCATCTCTGGGGTCCAGTCTGGACCCCAACGTCGACATATCTGCCAAAGGCGTGGCAATTTCCAACCGAAGCCATCCTAACCTGTTGATCTCCACAAGATCAAAGGCTGGATCTGACGAGTTTACGGCGCCATCATTCAGTTTCCTGCAGCCAAGCATGGCTAAATATTAGAGCCGCGATACCAGTCCGTTAGGTTTGGAATGTGTTTTGGTTTTCCAACTTTTCTTCTTCTTCTTTTTTTCTTTTTTTCTTTTCACACAACACTCGCACTCAGCAACTTCTATTCTGGGGGCTGGCAGTCCAGTTACTTATCCCCGGCAAGCATGAAAACTGAAGCATAGTGGGGGGGGGGGGGAAGAAAAGATGGCCATCCCTGGACCTTGGAGGGCCAATGGTCTGTCATCTGTGTAGTGCCCGAGCTGAGCAATAAGCTGGAGACCTCCTGGGTACCAGGCATTTATTGACAAGCACTCCCCCTTCCATTTCAGGGTATAGTATACTGTAGAGAGGCTCAGGGCCCAATTAACCTGTTGCCATGACATCATCGTTTGTCCATGTTTTATAGCCGATAGGCCCAATACAACCTTTCTAAGTTGGTCACACATTTCACAGTAAAGCAAGCAGCCTGGTAGCGAACGGTCAGCAGTGCTGACGGCACTTCGGTACCGTGTTCGTGGTCCCCATTTCCTAGTATTTACAGCGGCTGCTATGATCTACTGGTTTCCATTGTCCCTGTCGCCCACTGCGAAAAAAGTAGAAAGAACGAAAAGGGCAAAAGAGCAGCAAAGAAAGGAGAAGCCATACTAGGCATGTCTACTCTAAGCGCCCGGTACTCAACTCGAGGAATGACTACTTCTATTGTACAACTTCCTACCAGAAATCCAACAGTCTTTTTACCACTGTTTAGCTAGAATGTACATCGGGCGGGTTACTGCATGCCTCTTGCTGAAAAGCAGCAGCGGGAGAAGGAAGGGGCTCTGCATGAGCATCACACATCGGTGTCCTTGAGTAGCATGTCGAGCCAAGCCATTCGGCATCACTACATTACTCACTACATGCACAAAAGACAAAAAATATGGCGGTGTATATTCCCATGTTCTAGCGGAAGATTCGTTCTCAGTTTGCATATTTGGCCAGTAGTGGAGTGAGGCTCATTGCTTCCCTTCTGATGTTTGCCGGGTTACAGGCAGGTCCAGGGGCAGAGAAAGCAAGTGATTTGTCTCCGGTGGTGGTGTGTGCGATCCCTGCGATGGGGATGCGTCCAACGGACCACGCTGTGAGCCCTGCACTGCAAGAGGGTGCATCTGCAGCAGTCCTTGATGCTGTCCGAAGCCGCGCGATAACGGGGCACTTCTCAGACGGCTCAGGCATCAGCTATGTGCAGTAGTTGTCGTAGCCGAGGGAGCGCAATCACCCACCAAGACTGTTTCATCTTGTGCTTGATGTTGCTTACCATAGAGGTAACACTGTTGTACTTCATCTTGCTTGCTATACAAGGTAAAACTGTTGTGCTTCCTGGTGCTTGCTATAGAGGTAAAACTGTTTCATTGTTGGATCCGCTCATTTCCAGTGTGCTTCCATGTCTGCAATGGAGCTGAAGCTGCTTAGATTTTGGACCTACTCATCTGGGTGGAACAGGGGCTGCTGTGGTGAGTATCTACAACACACGCATCAGGCCAACTTTTTCTCCAGTCTGTGCCAGACCTCTGTCGTCTCTGCAGTCTTTTCTCTCCTGGCGAATGGCAACTCGTCTTTTTCAGTTTTTTTTTTTACTTCTGAAAACCAGCATTTCAAATGAGTCTAAGTTGGCGAAGCTACCTTCCACGACTCATGAGCCTGCAACTGCGCCTTTTCAAAGTGGCCTGCCGCTTTCGCTACCGGATGGAAATGCTCTTACCGCCTATACCGGAAAGAGCACCGCTTAGATCTGTGTGAACTGGTGGTTTAAAGCACAAGTACACCACACATCGGCCCGCGGGGGTCAGCATGAAACCCGCACCACTTCGGAGGCCGCCGATTTTTTTTTTCAACGGCCGACCTGACCGCGCGGCCCCTCCAAGTTTTGCTTGTGGCGACAAAAACTTTCTGCAAGGCTGGGGCCTTGTACTTGCGCTTTAACCCCCCGACAATGTGTCGCACCATTGAAGATCAGCCCTTTTTTTTTTTTTTCATTGACGATTAGCCCCCAACTCACTCGACCGCCATATTGTTAATCTGAGTGGAGCAAGGAGCAGAAGGGTTGAGAGCTCGGCAGTGCTTCTCCAGGGATGGAGGAGGAAACCCGTTTCGATTATTATCTGATAATGCTAATTTGGTGGCCTCAGTATCAGGTCATACTGTTAAAGCACCAGTAAGTTTCCCAGCGATTTTGCAGAAATGTGCCGTGCATGCATGCGCGTCCAGCGGGTTGTACTGGGGTGCCGTTTCGCTCGGTGATATCCACCCAGGCAAAACGGGTCGCATGCGAGGCCCTATTTGCCTGGATGGAATTCGGGCAAAACAGTACCTACGTACTGGTTTAAAGTTTAAACCACCAGTACTTCATAAAGTCACGGGTGGTAAACAAGCCGCGACAATGATGAACAAACGGGCCCATACATTGGCGAGTTCGGTTCATCCGAGCGGCTATTTTTTTTTCCCCGGCTGATGTATGGGCCAAGTACTGGTGGTGTAAAGGCATCAGTATGTTTCCTGGCTATTTTATTCGAACGTGGGAAGAGATTTGCAGAATGGGAAAGACGAAAAAATAAAAGGAAAAGAGTGAGAGCTAACATGTCGGTGGGTCACAGGAGTTGGTGGGGCTACCGTCGTCACCCGAATAGAACGCCCAGTCATTATAGCTGTATTTGGCACAACTCTCATCCCAGATACGGCGATAATTACCGGGCGTTCTATTCGGGTGAAGACGGTAGTGGTCAGTGCTACCGGTAGCAGGACGGTGGCATGTGGATTGCCCGGAGCGTATTGTGATATTCTTCTTAGTACATGTTGGATTGATCCTATGTTAGCTTTCAAGCATGTGCAATAGAAGTGGTATCTAATGAGTCATCTTCTTCCTTCGATTCTCACAAGAATGCTGAGTGTGTGGTGCTCAGCTCTCTTGCTCGAGAGGTAACAGTTTGTCGCTATCTATTGTTGATCACACATCTCCATGTTCTTTATGTTGAAATGAGGACCGCATTTCCTTTTACTGCTATGGCCAGATGTGGCTTGAACCCCAACAAATTATTCTAAGCAACCTGTACGTCCGAGCGCCTTTTTTCCGATGCCGACTTCTGGCGAGGGGCAACTTTTTGACTAACCGAGCAGCCACAAAATCACATCTTTTTGTCTGGTTCCATTACCGTCTTCACCCGAACAGAACGCCCGGTCATTACAGCTGCATTTGGCACAACTTTCAGTCCAGATGCAGCTATAATTACCAGGCATTTTATTCGTGTGAAGACGGTAGCCTTTTCTGTTTGGTAGGTAGCGCCCCTAAGGACGCACGAGTTTCTTGTGGGGTTCCATAGAATCAGCAGAATCGGACGCAGCACACATTCTGTAGACCTGGGGCTAAGTTCCACTACCTTCTTCCCCCGAATACAACATACGGCCATTATAGCTGTATTTGGGGTATCTTTCAGTCTAAATACAGCTATAATGACCGTACGTTGTATTCGGGGGAAGAAGGTAGTGGGGGTTCAGTCTTCCTTTCAAGTAGGTATGGCCACAGTGCAGCAGTCAGATGTTCAGAATCTTCAGACCCAATGGCGGGAACCATTGCTTACTCGAAACCGAGCCTGAAACCAAGCCTAAACCCACGCTAGTGGGACTTAGAGCGTCGCTCCACTAATACTCACCAAATGCGCAAAATGAGAATGAATCTTCCGCTAAAACATGGGAAGATGCACCGACATATTTGTTGTCTTTTGTGCAAAGGCCCTTAGCCCAGGGAGACCGTAGCAAGGTCCCATAACTTCACAACTCGCCAAGCCTGTCGAAATGAAGGCAAGATAACAGGTCGCGCTCCACTACGCTGGACTCTCTAAAATTCAAGAGTTCGGCATGGCTCCATGGACTCTAGAATCGGCTTCCAGACAACCCATTCTAGAGCTTTCAGAAAACCACTCTTGAAATCACCAAGAGTGGACGACACTCCACTAACTCTAGAAAGACGCTCTTGAAAATGCATTTCAAGAGCTGTCGGACGGATGGAGCTCCGGAAGTGCGCTCTAGATCTTTCTAGAGTGTCTGCCTGCGATGGCAGGATTTTCTAGGGTGGTTGCAAGGACCCTCCTTGGGGCCTGGCTTTTGATAGTGAACCTCGAATCTCAGCCGGCAAACCCATAGTTTAGTTCTCTGGTAGTGATGTTGGGTAGTAATCACAAGTTCAAGGGCCTCCGTCCACTACACAACACTTGACATGCATTTGGAAGCTTTGGTGACCCGATACATTCAAACTATTCAACTCGTCCGAGTGCGCATGGTCGACAAAGTGTCCAAATGCATGTATGTGGAGTGTTGGGTAGTGGAGCGAGGCCTCAACAGTCCTTGGCTTCAAGAGTAAGGGCAGCGAAGGTTGGAATGTCATTGATGCTGAGTGTTGGGTAGTAATCACAAGTTCAAGTGTCCACTTTCGAGAGTAAGTGCAACAAAAGCGGGATTTTGGCTTTTTCTCTTCCGTTCTTTAAACAGAAACTCATATTATGAACAAATCATGACGAAGCCGCGTACCTCACAATTCAACCCGGGGTTATCTTGGCAGCATTAGCCAGTTTCGCTTATGAACCGATAGGGGGCTAACCAAAGGTATTTATAGCCGTACTTGGCACAACTTTCAGCCCAGGCACGACTAATTACCGGGCGTTCTATTCGGGTGAAGACGGTAGCCTACTTGAGCATTGACTATTTTGACCTAGCCTAGTGGTCTGGTAGCTAGGAAGAAGTGCACAGGCCTACCTTCTTCCGCCGAATAGAACGTACAGTCAGTTCTGCTGCATGTGGACTAAAAGGTGAGGCAAATATATGGCTATAATGACCGTACGTTCTATTGCGGGGGCCGAAGACGGTAGAGCCAGCCTGACACCCTTCTACCAATGACCGGTGGGACCTCCACAGGTCCAGTGTTGGTGACCCTCTCCACCCTCCTCTCTCTCTCTCTC